CGGCTCAGGTCATGATCCCAGGGTCCTGGGATCGAGTCCCGCATCGGGCTCCCTGCTCCAAGGGAAGCCTGCTTCTCCCTCTCCCTCTGCCTCTCTCTCTCTCTCTCTCTGTCTCTCATTAATAAATAAATAAAATCTTAAAAAAATAAATAAATACTTGTTATCGTTTGATTGTTCGGTTGGATATTCATCTCATCTGAAACTTGATTTTATATTAGTGTATCACATACAGTTCTTCGGTAATTTTCTTCTAAACAGTTTAGGCCGGTGCTGTGTTGGATAGGGTGGTGGGGTATCAGAGTCACTTGTGAGGGTTTTTTTAATTACATACTCTATATTTCCTTGTGATTTCTTTTTTAAAGATTTATTTATTTATTTATTTTGGGGGGGGCGTGGAGACCATGAGCCGGGAAAAGGGGAGAGGGAGAGGCAGAGAATCTCAAGCAGACTCCACACTGAGTGTGGAGCCCGACGTGGGACTCGATCTCATAACCCATGAGGTCATGACCTGAGCCAAAATCAAGAGCCAGCCTCTTGACCGACTGAGCCACCCGGGTGCCCCTATTTTTCCCTGTGATTTTGATATACACCTTTCTCTCAGCTTCTCCACCAGCTTAGAGCCATTGTTAGAATATCAAATGACTGGTTTTCAGACTTTTTTTTAAAGCATAGAATCTCTTACTTCAAATAAAGTCTAGCATGCAAAACAGCTAAATATTGGGTGGGCTTTTCTGATTGAAATTGGAGCCAGATTGAAGTGACTTGCCTGGTCTAAGGCCCCCTACTTCCTGACCATCTCCTGGAAAAACAAGGAAAATGATGTATTCATGAATGAAAACAAAAGAAACACCATTTTCTTTCTTTCATTTTTTTTTTTTTAAGATTTTATTTATTTATTTGACAGAGAGAGAGAGCACAAGTAGGCAGAGCGGCAGGCAGAGGGAGGGGGGGAAGCAGCCTCCCCACTGAGCAGGGAGCCCGATGTGGGGCTCCATCCCAGGACCCTGAGATCATGACCCGAGCCGAAGGCAGATGCGTAATTGACTGAGCCAACCAGGCACCAGAAACACCGTTTTCAAATGAAATAATGATTTGGACAGTACCAAATGAGAGGCAAAATGCCTTACCTTTGTCTTGTGAATCCCAGAGAAATTTCATTTCATTTATTCTCAAAGCAGTTGAGTGTAGTTAAGGATAAATTAATTAAAATAAAACATATTTGGGGGGAGGTAGACTCCTCATTTAATTATTCCCAGTCCAGTGTGATTTCCTCTGGGCTCTGTGTGTATGATGACATTTCTATTCCATAGTTTCATTAGGTGATAAATAGGAAGGAGGTAATTTACTTCATTTCCAGTTGGACAGTAGTCTGTCAAAGAATAGAAAGATGGACAGGTGGTTGTCCACAGTTAAAGGTTCCTTTGCCTTAAAGACAATATAAGCAAAACTGCAGATGTGGCCTTTGGAAATGGCCAGTGTAGCATTTGATTATATTTCTTCTCCTGCTGTCTTTCTTTGGGCAGGTCGTAGAGAAAACGAACCCTACGGAGCCAGTGGGAGTGGTTTGCCGCGTGGATGGAGTCTACCAGGTGGTGGAATACAGTGAGATTTCCCTGGCGACGGCTCAGAAACGAAGCTCGGATGGACGCCTGCTATTCAATGCAGGGAACATTGCCAACCATTTCTTCACCGTACCGTTTCTGAGAGATGTTGTCAAGTATGAGCAAGATGGGGGCTTTTAAAATTTTTCTTTTATCGTTAATGAGGAACTGAGTCACTAGAGAAGTAGAAAGACACCCCAGGCCAAATTCTACAGAATTCATCTTCTCCCTTGAGGATCGCCTTTATCAAATGGAAATTTATCTCACATTTTAGTTGTTTTTAGGAAGATGCATTATAGGGTGCAGATTTGTAGAAGTCCGTTCTTCACTGCATTGCCTGCAGTCCAAAGCGCTTCTTCTTTTTCTTCTCTTCCTCTTTTCCCTCCAACTATGTTAGGTTCTGGTGAAGCAAAGAGTAAGAAATGAAACACGGTCTCTCTACCACAGTGGGAAACTTTAAAAAATGTAGACATCTGCTCTGCATCTACTGAATCAGAATTTCTGGTGGTAGATGCAGGTCATCTGTATTTTTGAAAAGCTGCCCACACAATTTTAATCAGTTCCCAAACTAGCATTTAGGAACTAGTGCATTAGAGGGTCAAGAAAAAAGAACTTGAGCCCTGGATGGAAATTAGCATGGTAGGATAAAAGAATAGAATAAGAGCTACTTTATTCTATCGGTTTGTTAAATGAAGGACAGTCTCACTATCTGCTTCTTCATTTGATAGCTTTTAGACATTCACGATGACAGTCTATTTTTAAAAAAGTTACTTAGATTTGCTTTAGAATATTGACTCCAGTTCCAGAATATTTCCCATTCTACTCTGCGGTCTGTAACTGTGCCTTTAATTCATCCATAGTAACTTATTAATCCTCATCTTTCCATTCTACACTTCAAGGGCTCTCAGTTGGGAAAGTTGGGGCAAAGAGCAGAACATTTTACGGAAGACAGGAAAATTATGGGAGAGACATTGGTGTGAGCTGTGTGGTGTATATTCTTTAATGTGGAGATCATTACTGGGTTTTTTAAAAATTCAAGGAGGTGAATAGGGAAATCTCTTCGTCTAATATTTAAATATGAACTGAAACTTAGCAGATGTGCTTCACTTTGAAAATCTTAGTACTGGTGTTGATGCCTTTGTTCTTGGGTGTGATTATCAGATTTTCTGGCATTTTAATTTTGGAAAGTGATTATGTCTTTTTTTTCCTACTTAGTATTTATGAACCTCAGTTGCAGCACCATGTGGCTCAAAAGAAGATTCCATATGTGGATTCCCAGGGGCAATTAATTAAGCCAGACAAACCAAATGGAATAAAGATGGAAAAATTTGTCTTTGACATCTTCCAGTTTGCAAAGTATGTTTTGAGTAGCAAGAGTAAGGTTAGATACGGGTCTTGAAATGTTGCTTTTTACTCTGTTAGGCAGGACTCTGTTTTTAGGAGATACTGGGTAGCATGTAGTCAGGTATGGTGTTCTGATTGTGAGTGTACTGTCTAGACTCTTTATCATTCTCTAGTATGCGACCACCAACCTGGGAGTATGGTGTGAGTTGCCTGTGAGTATGTTTCCTTCATGTTGGTTAGTCCGTTATCTGACTGACTGTCCTGCAAAACTGTGAAATTTTGTTAAAATTGTCACTTCTTTTGGCTAAGAGACTAAAAAGGTTGAGATAGAGAATTGGCCCACTTTGTGTGTAGGATGCCTTCCGGACCTGTGAGTAAATGTTTCAGGGAACATGGTTTTAAATTATATAGTTCTCCATCAAAGATCACATTTGCCGTTGAGGTATGAGTTTCAGTATGAAAATGCAGAAGACAAATTAGCTGTAAGATTAATCTTCCCATATGCATTTCTAAATCATCCTTTTTTGCCTTTTTTTTCCCCCAGAACAGATTCTAATGTAATTTGCATTAAGATTTCTGACCTTTCTGACTTGAGATGAAGTGTTTTATAGTTTGGGATGAAAATAATTTGTTATTTTGCACTGGAGAAGGGAATTCCAGCTTCCTTTAGTCCAGGGACGAGCTTTATTTCTTTTGGCACTCAGCTGAGAGAGAGCCTGTGAGATTAGGGACCAGAGGCTTAGCCCTGTAGAGAGGGTTGGAGTCGTGTTTGTAGTTTTACTTCATACTAGAGTGGTCTCTGTGTGGTTCCACTCTAGGAAGTTTGTGGTGTATGAAGTGCTGCGAGAAGATGAGTTTTCCCCGCTAAAGAATGCGGACAGTCAGAACGGGAAGGACAATCCTACTACTGCGAGGCATGCTTTGCTGTCCCTTCATCACTGCTGGGTCCTCAACGCAGGGGGCCACTTCATCGACGAAAATGGCTCTCGCCTCCCAGCCATTCCCCGGTAAGTCAGTGTCTCTTCTCCAGTGGGACAACGCTTCCTGGCCTTTTCTTCTTGGACCTGTCTCCCCTCTCTCTGATATATTCCCACATCTTTTTAAAAAAAGCAGAAGACTGATGTGGGCAGTTCCTGCTGTGAAATAATCTGGCCATCTGGCCCATTACAGAGAGAATGATCGCTTTACTTCCCCATAGAGAGGAATCCTCTGTTTTGGACACACGTCCACCTGAGCAGCGTATGAGTCCCGCTGAGGGGTGCTCAGGAGGCCGTCCTGTTGGTGCGTTGTGGGTAAAGGCCGTCAGGTGCGCAGGCCCTGAGAGGGAGAGGACTGGGCGCGGTCGCTCAGCTCTGCGTGCGTGGCCCCCCGCGCGCCTCCCCCCCCCAGCCGCACACCCGCTGCCCGCAGGCCTCCTGGGGACGGGAGACAGGCCCTCGCTCTTCTTTCTGTGACGCTTTCACCGTCACAGAAGGGAGATGCCGGCAAGGGAAGGGGATGGCACTTAACGTTCCCAGGTACTCAGACTTCACACATGTTTTGGCATTTTTAAAACTTAAAAAAAGAAGGTCCTTCTAGCTCTTTAAATCTGAGATAAAGCACTTTTAAGCTCAGGCTTCTGTTTTGTGAGCACCGAGAATTACCCCCTTGTAAATCCTGTGGTATTTATGTACTTAGGTCAGAAACGTTCTGCCAGTCATTTCTGTGTTGAGGACGAAACGGCTGGCTGCATGCCCAGGGGCGCTTGCATGCCTCGGTGCACATTAGGGCCCTGGGCCTTGGAGCTCCCTGGCCATGCCTGTGTTTTCCCGGGAAGGAGCTGCGGTAAGCGGCCTCCGTCCAGAGCCACTCTCAGGCTCTGACTCGCCTGCAAGCCTGCTCCTTTGCACGTCACGTTGTCCTCACGCTTCATCGTTGGCCATTGAGTTCGTTTTGGCCCCTTCAGATTTCCTTTGCCAAGTTTATAATTTACCATAAATACATGCCTTTCGGTCAAGTATATTTTGCAATTCCACTTCATTGTTATTGTTTGATTTGTTTTCCATTCCCATTAATGCTTATTTATTCCTACATAGCAGTGCTACAAATGGAAAGTCAGAGACCATCACAGCTGATGTCAATCTCAAGTAAATATCCCAGCCTGCCTGCAGTGCATGGTGTCGGGGCTGTGCTTCCCTCGGTACTAACTGGCATCGTAGTTTAGCGCTCTGCCTCTTGGTGGTCTGCGGGGGCGGGGTGGATGGCCACAGCTTTGGTGGGGGCGGACTGTGCTTCCTTGGTGGCAGGTATCTCTCTGGATGCCACTAACTCAGAGTTTCGGTGCATGCTGGAAATGGGGAACATGCTTTACTAAAGAACCTGTGGATGTTTGAGCCTGTAGGGACAACTTGACGAGCGATAGGTAGGGTGTCGGGCAGGCTCCAGGCCAGGGAGAACAAATTCAGATTGCAGCAGAAGCTAGAGGAACCTCACCTTTGGAAGCTGTGTCTTACTGGATTGGATGTATGTTCTCAGTAGGAAGGCTGACTGCCTCTAACATATCTGATGGCTCCTCATGTGGAGAAAATGATTCTCTTAATGTTTTCTCATCCTGACAGCTCCCTTCTCGGTGTTAATTTTAGTCTGTTACTATCTTGCTCCCAAGGAAGGAAGCTTTTTGTCTGAATGGCAGATAATTTTTAGCTGGAAGTAGCACATATCCTGTCTCACCTGGGTACTGACAGAGTTTGAAAAAGCCATTATCCTTACAGCTAAAGAGACAGCTTGAGGTTCTTGCTACATTTGAGAAGTTACTAGTTTAGTTGGAATTTTAAGTTTTGAAGATAATTTGGGAAATGTGTACGAGGCAAAGGATCTGGAGATGTCTCAGAAGTAGAGTAGCAGGGATGTCATTTTCGTCCCTCTAATCTGCCCCCCCCTCCCCCGCCTATGCCACTCACTTTTGCCCCATGGAGACAAGTGCCTGTGGGTGGCAGTGTTTCCTGTGTGTGGCCCTGTCTTGTAGACAAGGAAGTGGACTCACAGATCCGGTAGTTTCTTAGAGGAGCCCTGGGTGACTGTGGGCCCTCGTGCCGTGAGAACCTGGACACAGACCACTTTGTTATTTTCTGTCCCATCCATCATTTTTAATACATGGAGGCAAGTTGCTTTTAGAATTTGAGAAATGGATTTTTGACCCCAAATTTCCTTCTCACTGAGCCATGCTTTTAACCTCAAAAGTGAAATGGTTTCTTAATTATACAAGTGAAATCAACAGCCAGCTGTCTCAGCAAAGATACAAAATGTTTTAAATGTTCTTGTTTGCATTCTCTTATTTAGTACTTTCCCCCCCATTTACTTCGTTTTAGCCATTTGCAGAATAATTAAACTGAAATCAAAATTTGGCCCCAAATGAGATCGCGGACTTAAGAATTTAAGCAGGGACTATTTCTATCTCTAAAGAATGCCCACGAGAGTAGAAAAAGATTACTTAAAAGTGAGAGATGACAAGAAAGTACTTTGTATAAAAGGGGGAGGAAACAGCTGGGAGATAATTCTCAAAGAATGGAAGCAAGCTTGCTGAGTTTTGACCAAGTGACATTATTTTTATTTTTTATCTTAGCATTTATGGAACAGTTAGTTACTGAAAGTATGCTTGGCTAAAGAATTGAGGGGTAATATGTTACTGGTTTAAGTTGCCTGTCTCCTGAGATTTTGCATTTGGTGATGGTAACTTCTGTCTTTTCTCCTTCTGGGCATCCAACCTTGTTTATTAAGAGTGACTTTCTTAGTTTCTTGCAGTATCTTTTTGGAGAAGTTATATTTTGGTTAGCCATGTGTTCCTTGGGTTCAAAACCACCTTCTGATCCTGGCACACCAAATCCCTCAGGGCTTCTGGTGGGACTGGGCTGTCTAGATCTTATCAGTGGAATGGGTCCTTATTTTTCCCATTTGGTTTAATATGAGTCCAAGCTGCCCCAAAGGGTCTGGACCAGATTTCTTGAGCTCTGTTGATAGAATCTAACACATACCTAGACAGAAGTGTGCCCCATCTTTAATTCGTCTTTTCTCCAAATTAGTCTGTCATCCGTCTACCCCCCATAGTTCATTCATTTATTCAGCCAACAAACATTTGTAGGCCTGCTCATAGACCTACAGTACTGCTACTGTCTGGGTGCTGGAGTAGCTTACACAAGAGAAAGGAGTCATTTCTTACAGGCTACTGGGAGGTCAGGATGCATAAAAGTAACATCAGGCAGTATGTGTTTATGTGTTAAATATATGATACAAATAATAATTTACTATGATTTAGGAGGCAGTGACTTAGCAGATGTCTATTAAATTTTTTTTATAGAAGTAAATGAGAGTTATCAGTATGAAATACAATGGTCAAAGAAAGGGGGAGCTGGCTAAATCTTGGAGGATGGCTATAATTTGGATAGTCCAGATTTTTATTTGACCATAGTTGAGAATGACTTGGAATAATCCAAAGTGTGGGCAGCTGGCCTGGTTTGAGTGGAAAGTAGTGGGACAAGTAAGTGGGAGTAGGATGTAGAGCACCCTGAATTCAAACAACATGGTTCTGTTCAGAGGAAGTTTGGGCATCGCTAAACTCAGAAGTCCTGTGATTTTGTTGAGTTCACCAAAGCTTCAGATACATATTTGGTAAAACAAAGGACAGCTATAAGTTGAGGCTATAAGAGACTAGTTTTTTGTTTGTTTTAAGAGAGAGGGCATGAGCAGGAGGGGAGGGGCAGAGGGAGAGGGAGAATCTTAAGTGGGACTCAAGCCCAGCCAGCATGGAGCCCAGTTCAGGGCTCGATCCCGTGACCCCGAGATCATGACCTGAGCTGAAATCAAGAGTTGAATGCTCAACTGACTAAGCCACCCAGGCGCCCCGAGACTAGTTTTTGTGTGCTCTGTATCCTACTGGTGGAAAAACCTACAGATCTAATGCCTTTAAGCATATTAAAAACACTATTTATTGACTTTTATATTAAAAACTTAGAAACTTTTAGAAACTCAGGATTGAGTGGCTATATGTGTTAGAATGTGACCTGGAGGAAGGGTCCTGGGATCGAGCCCCACATCTGGCTCCCTGCTCAGTGGGAAGCCTGCTTCTCCTTCTCCCACTCCCCCTGCTTGTGTTCCCTCTCTCCCTGTGTCTCTCTGTCAAATAAATGAATAACATCTTAAAAAAAAAAAGAACAATACTGTCCAGTAGAACTTCCTGTAGGGAAGGAAATACTCTACAGCTCTGCTGTCTGAGTTGGCAGCTACTGAGCACTTGAAATGTGGTTTTTATGACTGAGGAACTGAATTTTAAAATTTTAGTTCATTTAAAAAATTTTAATTAATTTAAGTTTAGGTAACCACATGTGGCTAGTGGCCAGTGTATTTTGGATAGTGCAGCTTTAGAACGTTTGTCCATAGTAGTATTTAAACTCTCAAGGTTGTGGCAAGGATTGAAAGGAAATAGGAAGGAAGGATTCAAAGTAGCTAACAGTGGGCCTGAACCATAGTTTATATTCCATAAATAGTCCCTTCCTTATCACATTAAAAGTTGGAAATGATAAAAAATGAGATGTACATTAGCAGATAAGTATATCAGTATACCTACTGGTGATTACTGGCACTTGCCCCGGATAGTGTCTTCTGCACTTGATCTTAGCCAAAAGGCCGAGAAGCGATCCAAATAGTGTCTTCTGGACCACGACAAATTCATGTTTACTTGATGCTCAGGGAATTTGGTGACCATCAGGATAGAGTCTTTTCTGTTTGTCTAACTGGGAGAATTTGATTATCTGCAAGCTTCTCAGAGGAAAGTGATGGTCTGTACTTTCACTCTGGCAATAATGTGAGAAGCAAAACCTTTAACATGTTTGCTTTTTTTTCTTAGCTTGAAGGACGCCAATGATGTACCAATTCAGTGTGAAATCTCTCCTCTTATCTCCTATGCTGGAGAAGTAAGTTCGATTTGTTTTTTCCCTGTTCTTTTAAAAGTAGAATCCAGAGACTGTTTCATATTTAAGTAGAATTGCCCATTTCCCAGTGCCCTGCCCTGCTGATCCTGGGAATGAACAAAGAAGTTGCATTTGTTCTGAATTTTTTTTTTTTTTTTTTGAGAATTCTTGTTACAGCTTGGCATCTGTCCCACAAGTGGGTTAGTTGCCATGAACAGAATGTTTAATATTTTATCCATTTCATTGACATATCGAAATGCAGTGGTCTTTCAAAAAAAATCAGCCTTGTGTTTTAGATAAATCATCTAGTTCTTTTTTTTTTTTTTGATTGAAATATAGTTGACCCACAGTATTAATTTCAGGTGTGCAACATAGTGATTCCCCAAGTCTACACATTCTGTGCTCACAAGTGTAGCTACCATCTGTCACCACACAACGTGATTACAGGATCACTGACTATATATATTCTCTAGGCTGTGCCTTTCATCCCCATGACTTATTCATCCCGGAACCAGAAGTCTCTGCCTACCACTTTCCTTCACCCATTTTGCCCATCCCCTTATCCCCTCCCCTCTGGCCACCATCAGATTGTTCTCTGTATTTATGGGTTGTCTGGCTTTTTAAAACGTAGTATAATTTTTCCTCTCAAAGGGTTATTTTGTTCATACACTTGGTACTCTCACTTTTAAGACTGGGAGATTTAGGCGTTCCTACTCTTCTAATTAATATTTTTTCTGGAGATTCTTGTCAGATTGCTTAATTTCCGCATCAGAGACAGCCACACTGCTTAGAAAGTTAACTCTATTGGGTAATGGTGATAGGAAGAATGACTAACATCTTATTAACTTTAGAAATTATAATCAGAGTAATTTTCCTTTCTTTGTTGTTTATTTTATGCTTCTATAAATTGGTCATTAAGCTCAGTTTAAAAAGTATACGAAATAGGTTTTAAATTCTACATCTCATCCAACTTTTTGGCATCTATGCTTTAAATCTTTATTATAGTCACTAAGTCCAGTCTTGTATGACTAGTGCCCACTAATTTTCTAACTATGTTTCATTTTAACCCTTTTTTCAGGGAATAGAAAGTTATGTGGCAGATAAAGAATTCCATGCACCTTTAATCATTGATGAGAATGGAGTTCACGAGCTGGTGAAGAATGGTATATGAACCAGAAACCAAGTTCACCACAGTAAGAATAGCTTTTATTTTTGATAGACCAACTGTGAACCTCAGGACCTCTCCTGGAATACTCACGTTTGAATATCCACAGGGTTTCACCTTGCTTGTTGAACTCTCAACTACTCCATATTCCCCAAGATCCAGATGACCGAGCTTCAGAAAGCATTTTTATGATTTTCAACTCATTGAAGGTCTTATTTATATTTTTTAACTGTGTGATTTTTTTCCAAGCCAAGGAAAACATTGGCCATCCAGGAAATTTCCTACAGCTTGGTATAGTCAGGGTGTTCAACATCACTGTACTTGGAGCTGGAAACATTTGTTTTCGAAGTTGTACATAGTAATAATATGTCCTTGTATGTGTTGAAAGGTTTCTATGGTACTAAAAGTTTGTTTTATTTTATCAAAAATTAAATTTTTTTAAGAAAATAATTGGACAGTAAAATAAACATTTCTTCTTGTCTCTGGAGTGTCATTTGTACCTTGAGGAAGTTATTCCACTAGGAAATATGAAACTTGGGAGAAACTTTGAGATAGTACAAGAAACCAAATTGGCACTCCAGGGAGATGGTGGCCCCACAGGTTTTGAAGGAATCCCTATCTTTGGATTGTATCCTCCTATCACTTTATAACAGTGGCTCTGAACCAGAGATGACATGCCCCCTGCAAGAGGCATTTGGCAATGTCGCAACCGAGATGGTGGGATGGTGGTTCTGACGTGTAACGAGAGAAGCCAGGGATGATCCTAGACGTCCTGCGGTGCAGAGGGCAGACTCCCGCAGCAAAGAATTATCTGGCTCACACTGTCAGTACTGTTGAGGTTGAGAAACCTTGTTTCATATCATTGGTTTCTTCTCTTACCCAAATATGTGGTGGCACTTAGGAATTCAGAAGAACACAGTTCTGGCCTTTCCCCCGGCGAGTTAATCACTCCCACTTCAGGTTTTCTTTGTTCATCTAGAGGATGAAAAATCGGTGGGGAGGGTTCCTTAAAATATGTGCCATAGATCATTGGTCATTAGTAAGGGTTAAAAATGTAGTTTGCATGAAAATATTGAGCTTTATAAGTGCATTTTATATAGCATTTAAGTATTGACCAAAGCATAAAATTTAATTTCTGAATAAATGAAAAATTCTAAAGATTATGTCTAGAGAAGAAATTAGTCAATTTTATCTTTCACTGACCAGTTGTCACTAGATGGAATGTTATAGGTGGGTCTTTTCTCTCTGAAAGTATAGATTTTAAGGATCGCTTTTTAGAAAGTATATGATATTTGTATCTAAATTTATTTTTTGTCCTAAGGTGTAGGTAGTGTGTCTAGCATATTTTCTCTTTTTATTTCAATAACAGCCCAGTTTTGCTGTTGTTGTCCATTCCATTTCTCAAAAAGACTTGTGAGGTTTGGGTTCTCCATCAGAACGAGCTCCACATCGATCGTGAGGACAGAACCACAGGGTGGTAGCACCTGAACGGTACGCTTCATTTCCTTTTTTCTGGACCTTCATCTGCGGTTTCCTCTCTCCCCGTCTTTAAATAAGCTTGCACCAAACCAGGAAGGGGACGGCGGGCGGCATGGGATGGGGGTCGTGGCTTTGCTGGAGAAGAGTGGCGGCCCAGGGACACTGGGTCCGGTGAGGGTGGAGAGTCTGGTAGCCTCGGGGCTGTGAAATTACCAGGTGGCAGCATGATGCACCTTCAGGAATCCTTGTTGAATAATCGTTCTAATTCGGAAAATACAGAATTGGGTAAAATGGTTATAAAAATATGAATTAGAGTCATTTGGCAGCAGTGTGGTAGAATTTACATGAGAGTTAATCTCTTTGAGTCTGGTTGAAATCACCCTTGCAAATGTGTCAGGAACTTTACTGATAGTCACAAATGAACATATATTTGATTTTTGTTCCTCAGTTTCCCTCTTGCTTCTTGAAATTGATCCAGTTTTGACATCTATAAAGGAATTACTAGGGACATTTACAGGAAGATGAACAAAAGGAATTTTATTTTCCAATTTCTAGCCCTTCTCTCCCACAAAATTTGGGCTGTTATTGGCAACAGTGTGGGCTCATTGCTAACCCCAGCTTACTATCTGCAGTGTTTCCTCTTGATAATTCGTCATGGTACGGTCAGATCTCAGTTATCCAGGTAAAATGAGGCAAGGAAAAAGGCATAATCCAAGAGAGTGACTAAAACACAAGTCATTCTGTTGGCTTGGAAGTCTGTTTTCCTACTGGCCGAGACTGATGCTTTTGCACTTCATGGCCCTCTTGAGAACCCCAGTTTAGGGAAGGCATGTTGGGAAGTGATGGGGTGAGTCAGCCAATGAGGGCCGAGTGCAGATCACATGCCCAGCACTCTGGGCACACAGAGCCCTCTCCTTCCACAGCCTGCATTCTGGTTCAGGGGATAAAATGAACCCACTTAAACAAGGCAAAGATAATTTAGTACTAAAATGTAAGGAATCAACTTCAGTGGAAGTTAAACAGAGGTCATCACTATGAACTGGAGTTTGGTAAAGCAGAACTTCTCAACAAAGAACCCTGTCATTTTGAGAGTAGAGCTACTATGCCTTTCTCAAATTAGGGTCAGAGGTTTATGTTCTAACAGAAAAAGATACCTTAATAATTCTAACATGTATTATGAAAAACCAGTGAGGTTTTTACTAATCAGAACCATGTTTTGCTCATAGTAAGCTCTCAAATAATTTAACTCTGATCTATTGGATTTAGTTGCCTTAAAATCAAATGCATATTGTGATTCAGATACGGATTATTAAAGGGAGTTTGGTTATTGTGGGGAGAAGGGGTTACTTAGCTGCATCAAAGTTGCCAGGTGATGCCCAAGTTGTAGGGTTAGTGAACAGACCCGTAACAGTGATTTTCTGAGTGTGTTCCCCTGACTGGGTACCTCAGTGTCACCTGGAAACTTGTTAGAAACGCACATTTGCAGAATCCCTGCATCACACATTTGTAGGTGAGGCCTAGAAACTTGTGTTCACATGAACCCTCCAGGTGATTCTGATGTACACCAAAGTTTGGGAACCACTGCTCTAAGAAGGCCAACCAAAAGGTCAGGAGTGTTACAAAAAAGAGAACACACACTAGGGGAAAACAGAGAGGCCAGTGTTCGTGAAGCCCGGGGTAGGGTAAGCTGGAAACCAAATAGGTATGTCTTATGTGAGCTTTACTCTGAAATACCGAGGGAATGGTACTGATGGTAGTAAGAGTGAAGACGGCGCTAGCAAGACCTGACCAGGACTGTTGGAATTGCTAGGACAATGGTTTCTAAACACTTCGGATTCTCTGAATCACTTGGAGAGATTAAAACCAACACTCCAGTTGTAGAGCTGGTGATTCTCAGTCTGGTGAGAGCCTGAGTAGCTAATTTTAGAAAAAGCACTAGATGATTCCAGAGTGCAGCTAGGAGTGAGAATCACGACTTGATTTAGAAATCAGCAGTCAAGGACGAGGGGAAAAGGAGTTTGGATGTGTTCTGGCTTTGAAAAATCAGACAAGGGAGGCGAAGAGTGAAGAACATTTCACTTGAGAAGAACAGCACAAACAGGAAAGGCAGCTGGGCCCAGGAACACGTATTCTGGGGATGATTCCATTTTGCAAAGACCTCGGACTGCAGAAAGAACCACCCTAATTGGGCTCTTTCTAAATTGTATCCCTTCCGATTCATAGCATTTCCTAAAGCTAGAGTGAGGGTGGTGTAGGGGAAAAGAGAAAGTGAGTGAATAATTTGGTTTAAAAATAGGAGTTTCAGGCTGAATGAGAAATAAAAAGGAAAATACTGTGGTAAGGTGATGGCATGACGGGTGGGTTTTTCCTCTGAATTTCATAAATCTTCGGATGATGCATTCTTTGGAATTTTATGATAAAAAGTTATATCTTTTGTAAAGGCTCAAAGTATAAATAAACCAAGGGTAGTCACATTAACCAGTTAGGTGCAGCTGCAAGAGGACTTGGGGGTAAAATTGGCTGTGGTGAGCTGGGGGGGAGGGGAATACAGGTGTACCTTCAGATAACGGAATGTGGACAGGGCACCATTGGAGTGGGAGGCAACTTGGTCTTATATGCTGTTATCTCTGACCTTGGCTCCCTTACTTGGAGTATCCTCAGTTGTGACTTATGATAATGTCTTAATTTGGAGGGACGTACAAAGCAAATATACTGTGTGAATTCAAGGTAATGCACTTTGAGAGAAAGCCTTTCTGCAGGAGGCTTAACAGGAGTTCTCTGGCGGAATATATGAATTCAGGATTACGTTACACGCTCTTAAAGATGAGAGGCCTAAGAGGCTTGCCAAAAGCTCAGTGAGTCAGTGGTGACACCAAATATGTTTACATAGACAGTGTTTTAAAAGTTCTGAACCAAGTTAGAAGGACAACGTAAGAACAGAAAGTCTATTATTACAGTTTCATGACTCACTGTTTCCACATGCGCTCTCATTTCTATCTCAGTGATTCTACTTCTCAGGAAGTGTTCTTTCTCATTTTCTTCTAGTGGGCAAAGTTTTGTTTTGTTTTACACAATGATGTGTAGAACTCACAATGTACATATTTTACACAGCAAAATCTAGAGTAACATAGGTGATGTGTAGGAGATTGAACTGAGACTTGATAGATTTCCTTTTAAAGTTTAAAATTTCTCCTAATTTATATACTTCTAAAAGGATTGAAATTTGACAGAGATTAAATCTCATGAACATAACATAGTGAGTATCAAGTAGAGATAACTATGGCCCATACCTTAGGGCCCTTAACCATGTGCCAGGCCCTGCTTGAAGCAGTTTGTCTACATCATCTCATTTAATCCTTATTACTTTCCTATGAGGTGTGAACTTTTATTGTCTAGTCCATAAACTAGTGAGAAGCTGAGCTGGAAATTGAACCCAAAATCTGAACCCAGAGACCTATTCTTTTTCACTTTTTTACTTAAAAATTTAAAATATACACAGTAGTAGAGAATAGAATAATGACCTGTTAGTTCTAACAATTGACATTGGCCAATCCTGTTTCATTTAATTCTCACCTTCAATGCCCCCATGGAATTATTTTATAATCAATTCTGTGTGTTGGATGTAATACTGCAGTATACATCTAAGATAGAATCTTGTTTGTGCATATATATACACACAACTTAAAAACCTTTATAATTAATGCTTCTTTAACATCATCTGCCACGCACTGAATGTTTGCATCCCCCCCCACCCTCCACCCCATTCATATGTTGAACACTAACCCTTAATGGGATATTAGGAGGTGGGGTATTTGGGAGGTCATGGAGGTGGAGTCCTCATAAATGGAATCAGTGTCCTTATAAAAGAGACCCCAGGGAACTCCCTTATTGCTTCCACCATTTGAGGACACAACGAGATGATGACCATCCATCTGTGAACCAGGAAGTGGACACTCAACCAGACACCAAATCTGCCAGTGCCGTGATC